CTTAGCATCCAGTGCTTCAACAACGTCATTAAGAACCTTCAGTGAAGCAGTGGTTGTGCTGTGTTGTTTCCTGAAACCAGATTGATGGGGAGGTAAGATGTTAAATGAGTCCAGGTAATTTTTGATTTGAGAGTTTATCAGTTTTTCTAGAACCTTGGCTAAAATGCAGAGTTTAGAGATTGGGTCAATAGTTGTTCAATGGGGGGGGGGGGGTGTCACCTCCCTTCAGCAAAGGAAGAACAAAGGCTGTTTTCAAGTGTCTGGAATGGAGTTTTGTCTCATGGACAGGTTAAAGATGTGGGTCACAGGGACTGTGATGATATGAGCAGCCAGCCTTAAGAAATAAGGTGCAAGTTTATCTGGTCCTGCAGATTTTTTTAGAGTTTAGACCTTTTAACAGTTTAGTAACATCATTAACTGAGAACGGGGAAAGAGAAAAGGTGTGATTAACTGAGGATTGACTTGTAGGAGGGATATGATTCGTAGAAGTTTGGCTTATAGGAGAAGTGGCTGATTTCCATTAGTAACTGTGTCGAATAAAGAACTGGAATAAACAAAATATCTGTTGTTACTACCCGCAATGCGAACTAAACTCTCGCACCACTTGAATAGGGACCAAACAGCCCGTAACAAGAGGACCCCAATCCCATATTTACGGAGCACCTCCGATAGTGTACCCCGTGGAACATGGTCGAATGCCTTCTCCAAGTACACAAAACACATGTAGACTGGATGGACAAATTCCCATGATGCCTTGAAGATCCTAGTGAGGATAAAGAAGTGATCCAGTGTTCCATGGCCAGTACGGAACCCGCATTGTTACTCCTGGATCTGAGGTTCGACAAACGATCGGACTTGCTTCTCCAGTACCCCTGAATAGACCTTACCAGGGAGCAGGGCTTAATTTGTAAACGGATCTATGCTGGAACGCAAATGGTGGGCAGGAGGTTGTGGGCCGGTGGGGGAGGAGGGGGTGCGCAGGGGAGCCAGGGAAGTTGAGGGAGCCTGTAGGTCCTCCTTCTCATTCAATTTTTGAATGAGAAGGAGATGCTATTTCCTCAGGAGTAGTGCCACAGAGTTTAGAGATGGTGGGCCTGTGATCGGAAGATTGCTGGTTCAACTCCCAGTATAGACAACATCAAAATGTGGGTGGGATTGGTGAAGCACCCACATCTGTCTCCACCCTCATTTGCTCCAATCTGGGCCCTTGAGCAAGGCCCTTAAAACCCCATCTGCTCCCCTGGGCACCCTACATAGCAGCTCTCTGTTCCACGCAGAAGGCTGTGGTAGCTCAGTGGGCTGTGGTTGTGTCAGGAAGGGTATCCGGCATAAAAAAAATTGCCAAGTCTTCGTGCGAGTTTGTTCGCTGAGGTGACCCCTGACGAAGGGAGCAGCCGAAAGAAAAAGAAAGAAGAAGATGCTATTTCCTGCATTTTGGTGTAGCCTATTTTAACGGGTTGTTAAACATCTACATTTACCTACATTTGTAAACACTTAATTCAATTATTATTTTAGAGAGCACCAACAGGTTGTGTATGAATAGAGCAGCTACGATTCTGTCAAGCATCCTAAGCCCCCACCCCACACACACACACTTCTGAGTCAAACTCTTCTCCGCTGAGTTCATCCCTGCACGCATTTGCTCCTGCTACTCCAACCTCAGTTACGACTGCCTTCTTGATTGTCCAGCTAAGGACAATCCATCCATTTATTTTATGAAAGTAAACTGGACTGTCTTTTTGACATTTTGATCACTGTTATTTTGAAAATTAGCGTTGTTGTTTTGATACGTGATTAATGTGAATAATACACATCAAACATTTCTCTCGTATAAATATATATTTTTTACTGTAGCTAAGCTTTTTTATTTATTATGTCTGAAACGTATGCGTGAGTTCACATCAACAGTTGTGCGTACTCAGAGCTGTCTGGAGATGCTCCTGTGTGTAAGGTATGGCAAGCCAAGTGGTCCATTAATAACCACTTTTACCACATGTCTGGCTAATGGGCCACTTGGCTTGCCATATCAAGGAAGATACTTCTCCCCCGCGGGACATACCATCCGTGTCTCTGCTGGGCAGGCGCGTGTGCGTGAGCTAGTGCGCCTGCTGCAGCCATAATATCCACTCCACAGACTGGGCAACGTCTCCTCTCTTTGTATTTTTAATAAATAATCAAAATAAAAATGTGTGACGACTTTGGACTTTTAGGGGCGGAGATTTGAGTTGTTGGATCCGAGCAAACAGTTGCCGGAACACACCCGGTCAAAATGAGAGAGTTCCCGGATCTTGCTCCAGCAGGATCTGGCTCAAATAAAGCACTGTCAGGGAGGCTAAGGAGAGTGAGTCCCCTATAATTGAAGAACACCCTCCAGTCCCCCTTTTTGAAAAGGGAACCGCCACCCTAGTCTGCCAAACCAGTGGCACTACCCCCGATGTCCACGTGATGTTACAACATCCAGAGCCTTAAGGAAATCAGGGCGAATCTCATCCACTCCGAGGACTTGCCACCTCGAAGCGTTTTAACTACTCGGTGACCTCAGCCACGGTTATGGATAGACCAACCTCGAAGTCCCCCAACTCAGCTTCCTCCATGGAAGAGGAGTCAGTGGGATTGAGAAGATCCTAGAAGTATTCCTTCCATCTCCCGATGACATCACTGATTGAGATCAACAGTACCCCACCTCTACTTAAAACAGTGTTAGTAAAGTGCTGTTTTCCTCTCCTCAGCCACCTGATGGTTTGCTAGAATCTCCTCGGAGCCAACTGAGAGTCTTTATACAAGGCCTCACTGAACTTCTCCCACATACGAGCTTTTGCCTCAGCAACAGCCAAGGCTGCAGACCGCTTGGCCCTCCGGTACTCCACAGCTGCCTCCATAGTCTCACACAACAAGGCCTGATAGGACTCCTTCTTCAGCTTGACAGCCTCCCTAACCCGGGGTGTCCACCACCGAGTTCAAGGATGGCCACTGTGAGAAGCACCAACTACCTTGCGACCACAGATCAAGGCAGCCACCTCAACAATTGAATCGTGGAACATGGCCCACTCAGACTCAATGTCCCCCACCTTAGTTGGGAAGTGGTTAAACCTCTCTCGGAGGTGTGAGTTGAAGATCTTTCTGAAGGGTTCTTCTGCCAGGCGTTCCCAGCAAACCCTCACTTCAAGTTTGGGTCTACCAGGTCTGTCTGGCATCTTCCCCCGCCATCTGACCAACTCACTACTAGGTGGTGATCAGTTGACAGCTCAGCTCCTCTCTTCACCCGAGTGTCCAAAACAAACGGCCGCAAATCAGATGACATGACTATGAACTCTATCATCGATGCAAAACTTAAAGCATCCTGGTGCCAAGTGCACTTATGGACACACTTATGTTCGAACATGGTGTTTGTGATAGACAAACTATGACTAGATAAACTATGACTAGCACAGAAGTCCAACAACAGACTCGAGTTCTGATCGGAGAGGCCGTTTCTCCCAATCACGCCCCTCCAGGTCACACTGTCATTACTCATGTGGGCATTGAAGTCCCACAGCAGAATAAAGGAGTCCCCAGCTGGTGCACCTTCCAGTACCCCTGCCAAGAACTCCAAGAAGGCCGGATACTCTGAATTGCCGTCTGGAGCATAGGCACAAACAACCATCAGAGCCTGTCCCCCCACCTGAAGGTGCAGGGAAGTCACCCTCTTATCTAATGGGGAGAACTCCCACACACAGGCACCAAGTCAGAGGGCTAAGAGTAGACCCACACCAGCTCTATGTCTCTCACCATGGGCAACTCCAGAGTGGAATACGGTCCAGCCCCTCTCAAGGAGATTGGGTCAAGAACTCATGCTGTGTGTCGAGGTGAGCCCAACTATATCTAGTCAGTACCTGTCAACCTCGCGCACAAGCTAAGGCTCCTTCCTCACCAGAGAGGTCCCATTCCATGTCCCAAGAGCAGTTTTGGTAAGCCAGGGTCAGAGCGCCAAGGCCCCTGCCTTCGGCCACTGTCCATAGCATCTTACACCCAACTTGTACGGTCCCTGCTGCAAGTGATGGGCCCACAGAAAAGCAAACCCATGTTGCTCATTCGGGCTGAGCCTGACAGGGCTGCATGTGTAGAGACCCGGTCACCAGGTGCTCGCTGATAAGCCCCTCACCCAGGCCTGGCTCCAGGGTGGGGCCTATCTAATATATCTAAATATCTACCTTTATTTATTACGGTAAATATAATGTTTCTTCGTTGAACTAAAACAAGTTGCGTCAAGTTGAGCATGCATCAGGATAAAACAAGTTGTTTGTATATTTTTGGAACATACAAATATATAAATAATAAAAGGTACAAATATTCAGGTTTTCATCAGTATCACATTATTATTAAAGTAATTATTGTGTACTTATATTTCATGTCAAATTAGCTGCAAACAGTAAAAATTTATTTTTTTACACGCTTTTAAACAAGTTTATCCTCATTAGGTCTACATCATAACATGTATGTGTTTTATTATCTTACAAAAATAAAAACAATAAAATAAACACTTTGTAACATCATATAAAATAACAGAAAGTATTAAAATGAATCTAAATCATTGTTTGGAATAAAACCTGAGCAAAAAACACAAGGATCCATGTCTACAGCACAATAACGGCTGCACCTGTTTAATTAGTGTGCTAATTGCTAATTACATCCAGTTTGTTGTCTTCACATGCACTACAGCTGTGTGCATGTGCGTGCGTGCATTCACACATGCGCGTGTGTATTCTCTAAGTCAACAAACAACCAGCATGATAAATATACTTGAAGCATTTAGGACTAATGAGTGCAGCGCTAACGAAGCTCGCTGCCTTAACGACCTCACCATTAACCATTAGCCACCTGATGAGCTCAGCGCTAACACAGCTTAGCATTAATGACTTTAACATTAACCTCCTAATGGGAGGAGGCTAGTGGTTAGCCACTAGCAGCTGGCAGGAAGTTCAGCAGACGTCTGCAGGTACGCCTGTCACTCACTCACTCACCTGCACACTTGGTCCTGGCTCTGAGCGGCGGCCCGGGGCTTCCTGTCCCTCCCTCCAAGGGCCGGGTGAGCAGAACACTGATCTCATACTCTGTGTCGGGATCCAGGTGACTGATTTTATGGGTGGGGTTAGCCACAGGTGTGGTGTCAATCAACATGCCCGACATTGTCCTGTACTCCACCTGAAAACCAAAAAAACACAAGTTTTCCATGTTCTAGACGTGCACATAGACCAACAGAAGAAAGCCCAAAGTGAAGGGTGCTGGTTGTTTGTTGATTGGTGTCAGCATTAGATCCACATCAGAAACCACAAGAACCCTGTTAGAGACATTTTCAGTTCACTTTATTTCTGTAGCTCCAAGTCCCAACATACGTTGTCTCAGGGCGCTGAACAAAAACATTCACATACTTTATAAATCAGAATCAGAATAAACTTTATTATCACTGCACAGAGATACAACAAGAACATGCACGTACAGTCTGAAAGATGGACGGCGTGCACGTAGCTGCTGCTATAAAGCGCGGCCTTCTTGTCCTTTTTTTTCAGAATAAATTTTGTAGGTAGAAAAAGGGACGAAGCCATGAGGAGAGGGTAGTGGCATTATAAAAAGATCTCTTCACACCTCGTCCTGACAGGACACCATTTAAAACATCCAAACTCTGCCAGCAGCACATTGATGAACACGTTGCATATTATTTACAACGAGGCGGTCCATGAAGCACTAACAGATACTTCATTACTCAGACAGACTGTTTTTCTCGTCAGCCTCGAGTCTTACTGGTACTTCCAAGGTCCAAAATGGTCAGATTAGAGTGCATTCTGCATAGAGCAGCTGTTACAGTGAGTAATGGCAAAATGAAAAACAGAAACACATGATCTATTGGAATCTAACACAGATGATATGGAGGAGATAAAGAAATCTCTGAACTTTATGAGTACTGAAATTACGAATTTGTCAACCCAACAGAAACTTTTGATCAGTTTGTTTGAAGAAGTGAAACAATTAAGAGTACAATTAAACATGAAGGATAAAAAATAAATGAACTTGAGCATAGGGTGGATGCATTGGAACAAAACTCTAGGCAAGACAACATAATCATATCTGGTCTTGCATTAAAATCTTCATATTCAAAGGCCACTTCAGGAGAAGGTATTGCTGAAGATGTCACGCTCAGCGGCCCCCACTGCCCCCCCATCTGCCTAAGCCTCTGCTCCTCATATCACAGCCCCTGTTTTAAGATCATTCATGTTTTGTCCTGCCTCAGTTTCTGTTTATTTCATCCTGTTTGGTCCTGCACTGCCTATCACCCATTTTCTGCTCCTGTCACTCTCTCTCAGCAATCACCACTCACCTGCCACACCTGTTCAGCTCACTACTTAAGCTCCACTCTCACTCTCCTCAGTGCCAGATTATTGAAAGCCTCACAGCCAGTAAATTATCCAGCATTCGTTCGTTCCTAGTTTCTTCGTTTTTGACCACAGCTTCCCTCTTGACTCCTCGCTTTGTCTTTGCCCCTGTCTGGATACCACGCTCTCGGCCTACATGGTACAACCTCGCTCTCCTCTTCGACCACGACTACGGATCATCCTTTTGCCTGTTCACACAGCTCCTGGCTCTCGACCCCTGCTACGTCCCTGGATTCTGTTTCCTGCCCAGCCCTCCAACGTTCTCTGTCTCAGCTCTGCTCCTGCCACAGAAGGTCAGTGACGTGCACACCACCTCTCAGCTCCCAGAACCTTTTTGCAGTCACTAACCTGTCTGTCTTCATAGATTGGACCAGAACTGAGGCTCAGATCCTTCAAACGAACGCCTTTAATAAAATAAAACCTTTTCTTTTAATTTTGTCCTGAGTCAGGTGTTGTGCCGATCCATACAGACTCGTTACAGAAGATGCATCTCCACAAGAACAGAGGACTCTCGAAGAACAGGTGGTGACTTTTCTACAGAACAAGGAAATAGACATTAAATATGAAGACATTTCTCTATGTCATACATTGCCTAACAAAGCTGAGAAATCTAAATCGATTATTGTGGTAAAATTCATTAGTAGGAAATCTAGAAATGCAGTAATCATGCAGGCAAATAAACTTAAGGGAACTAATGTGTTTATTAACAAACATTTGACAAAAAGAAATGGTATCATTGCACGCGAAGCAAGGTTGTTACGGAAAAGAAAAAAGATAGTCTCAACGTGGACAAGAAATGGAAAGATATGGATTAGAGTACAGGAAGGGTTGCAAGCGAAGATAATACAAGATGTGAAGGAATTGGAAAAAATTGGATAAGTATATAAGATAAGATATATTAGAAAACTATGCTCGATGATTCACATATAAGGAGGACTAAGTAAAATGGTTTAACGAAAGACAACAGCTTACTCATGACGAATGAGGATTTGGAATTTAAAATATATAATGTTGATGAAGAACTAGATAGAAATCTTTTTCCGGCTAAAAAAGACAGTAAATACTACAATGAAGAACAGTTTAAGGAAGTTAACATGACAAATGATGATCTTTCCATAATTCATTTGAACTGTAGAAGTATAAATACAAATATATCTTACATGCTAGAAAATCTCCAAAACATAAAAAAAACTTTTACAATAATAGCACTATCAGAGACATGGCTTAATGATGAAAATATAAAAAACATCCACATTGAAGGATATGATTTCCATTATATAAACAGAAAAAATTAACGAGGTGGAGGAGTAGCTATATTTATAAAAAAGGAAATAAAATGTAAGTTAATTAAAGAAATGTCTATGGTTGTTGATAATATGATGGAAATGATTACAGTGGAAATAATAAACAAATATGGAACAAATATTATAATAAGTTGTGTGTATCGATCGCCAAGTTCAAAGATAGAGACATTTACAGATAAAATATTAGAATTATTGGTTAAGAGTGGAAATAAAAAAGTTTTTTTATGTGGTGATTTCAATATTGATTTGGGCAACATGACAGACTAATAATACCAGTATATTTATGAACTTGATGAATAGTTTAAATTTAAATCCGTTGATATTAAGGCCGACAAGAATAACAACTCACAGTGCTACGTTAATCGATAATATATTCACAAACATAGAAGATGATGATGTGATAAGTGGAATATTGATGATGGATATCAGTGATCATTTACCAATTTTTTCAATTTATAAATGTGATGATAATAAACCAAAAAAATAAAAAGGATAAATACAAAAATAAACACATCAAAACAAGCATTGGATAAATTTAAAGAAGATTTAGATATACAAAAATGGGATGAAGTATATGTGGATGATGTAAACAAATCTTATGATGAATTTATGAGGATCCTTGAAGTTTTGTTAAAAAAAAATTGTGTAAAAAATCTACATAAAAGATAAGAACGTCGATCATCCTTGGATGACTAAAGGATTGAAGAATGCATGTAAAAAAAGAATATACTTTATTCATGGTTTATGAAATCTAGAACATTAAATGCTGAAAAAAACATACAAAAAGTATAAAAATAAATTGGTAGGGATAATAAGAAAACATAAAAGGGAATATTATAGTCAATTATTACATAAATGCAGTGGTGATATGAGAGCGACATGGCGAGTAATTAACAATGTTTTAAGAAAACAAAATGTAATAGGGGATTGTCACAACATTTTGTTGAAAACAATGTGGAAATTTATGATGATACAGAGATTGTAAATGGATTTAATAATTATTTTGCAAATGTGGGATTAAGTTTTGCAACGTCAATTCCTAAAGTAGATGGTAATGTGAATTATTTGATCACTGGATGTGCAAACAGTATGTTTCTTAACGGTACTAGTGAGGAAGACATAATGAAGGTAGTTGGACAATTTGCTGATAAAAGATCCAATGATTGTGAAGGAAATAATAAGTAATGTGTTGGAACCATTTACATATATCTGTAATTTATCATTTTCTAAAGGCATTTTCCCAGAAAGAATGGAAATCGCAAAGGTGATTCCAATTTTTAAAAATGGTGAGAAAAGTTTGTTTATAAATTATAGACCTATATCGTTGTTGCCACAGTTTTCTAAAATTCTTGAAAGATTATTTGTGTCCAGGCTGGACAAATTTATAGATAAACATAATACTTTGAGTAATGAGCAATACGGTTTCAGATCTAACAATTCAACATGTCTGGCTCTGATGGGTTTAATGGAACAGGTTACTACAGCGATAGATGAGAAGCAATATTGTGTAAGTCTATTTGTTGATTTGAAAAAGGCTTTTGACACCATTGATCACACTATTCTGCTTGAAAAATTTAAATAATATGGTATTAGAGGTCTAGCCATACAGTGGACATCTAGCTATTTAAACAGAAGAAAACAGTTTGTACAGATTGATGAGGTTAGATCTGGTTTGTGTAATGTCTCATGTGGAGTACCTCAAGGTTCAGTTCTTGAGCCTAAGCTGTTTATTTTGTATGTAAATGATTTAGTTAAGGTGTCTAGTATTCTCAAGTGTGTTTTATTTGCAGACGATACTTTCTTTTGTTCGGGTAAAGACTTTAATCAGATGTTTGAATTAATGAAGATTGAGTTTGTAAAAATTCATACTTGGTTTAAATTAAATAAATTATCACTTAATCTAGAAAAAACAAATTATATGATATTTAGTAAAAAAAAAGCCATCTATAGATTTTCCTTTTGAAATTGATGGTGTTGTGATAGAAAGAGTGAGTGAAGTAAAGTTTCTGGGAGTGATTATAGATGATACATTGACATGGAAAAAACATATTAATGTTGTAAGAACTAAAATTTCCAGGTCTACAGCAACGCTACATAAAGTACGAGAATGTCTGACTGATAAAGCATCGTGTCACTGTACAATACAATTGTTGTGCCACATTTGATTTATTGTGTTGCTCTCTGGGGTGCAGCTTGTAAAACTGCAACCAAGTCTATTTTTATTTTACAAAAAAGAGTTAGAAGAGTTATCGCAAAAAAGCATTATCGCCATCCTTCAAGTA